ATTTTAATGATATAGTTAGATACATTTCTTGGAAGGATGAAGTATTAGGGTTTGTTAATTTGTTGTAAGAGGTAAAAGAATAGACAAAATAAATATGACATCTTCTTTCATTAAAGCAATAGTTTGGATGTGTTTTGAAGTGGCCTACTATGAGGTACACTGTATCATCAACAGTGTATGGCAGTCTGCACCAGGCAGGCGGTTAGTTTGTTTTGCATGACTTTGGCAAACCCCAAATTAACCGAAATCTAAACATTACACAAACTAACTTACCAATCATCACAGAGGTAGACAAGCAACTCCCATGCTCTGTGAGACAAAACTACTGACGGCTTCAGTTGTCTGAAGGAGCTGTCTGACAGTAAAGCTGTGAAAATAATCAGAATCTGATTTTATTTATGTGGCTTGAATATGTTTTCCTGCTGCCCCAGTCCGCTGCAGAACATTGCTAAGCTTCTTTGCTGTATCTCTTGTCTGTTGGTGGGATATGGACCGCCATCTACTGTAAGTAATACACTAAAAATGGGTACACTAAATAATAACCCCCTTTAGGCTATTTTTCCTCTAACTTTAAAATAGGTTTCCATAAGTGTAGGATAATTAAGAGCTGCCTGTACAAATTACAATGTGCAAACCCAGTTTGATCAGACGAGAGCTGGCTAAGAATGATTAATGCTGGTAAGAAGAGTTGTGTGTTATTAGCACATACATTGCCAACAGATTGCATGCTATGTTAACTTGCACCGTGTGAAATTCACAATAAGAGGAAGTTCTTTGCTCTTCACACACAGACCGGTGGAAGCCCCTGTACTCAAAATATTGTTCCTTGGTTAATTCAAAGCAGCAGGATAAGGATTACATACATGTACCATTATTTCATTTCCTCATTACCTCAAGGTTATTGAAGGGCCACCCACCCTCATGCACACATAGAGTGATAAAGGCTAATGCATTAGGCATGGCAGGTCCCTGATAAAGGACGGAAGTCATCACGTCAGTCAGAAAGACTGATTTGCTTTGGAATTTCAGGCTCTCTGTCTTTCCTACGAAAAACCTGCAAGTTGCCTTTAAGAATGAGGAATGTTGGTGATAATATTTAAACGATGCTCAGAGGTTAAACCTCAGTTTTGTGTAACGTTTTGAATTCCAAACATGTTACTGGTGGGTAGAAAACGGGTCAGTGTAAGCACAGGAAACAGACTTGTGTCACCCTTTCCAGTTTTCTAAAAGAGAGGCCGCAGTGGTACACACTAATGACCTCAAAGTGTGCTTGTGTTGCCCTGAACACCCCTGAAGAGTAAGACAAAAACATCCTGGTTCATCTGAACAAGCAATTGGAGGCATGCATGAAGAAACACTATTATTGGAAGCAAGAATCCACAAAACCAATTAAAAGCTATGTAAAATCTCCTCAGAAGACTGACCTGGTTCAATATCTTGTATTTCAATATGCAGCACCATGAGTACTAGCTAGAGTTGCAAATATTATTCAATGAAGAGAAAAATAATCGCTTACTATTTTGATAATCAATTGATAAAGTTGTTTTTTATGCAATGGGCCGAAAGTGTTGTTTTCAGCCTCTGAAACATTGAGCTTTCCTGCTTTTTTCTTCCCTATTAAACTGGTTTGTGGTAATTTTAAGACATCACCTTTGACTTTGAGAACCGGGATGGAAATGTTTCACTCCTTTACATTTTGTAAACAAATAATCAATAAATGAAATGTGAGTTTAATGAGCCTTGAAAGGTGAAGATGTCATATCTCAGAATAAAGTCAAAGCTAATGACTTAACAATGGGATAACTTGCCTAACCCAGACTATTTTTAACAGGGAACGAGGGAATTTATTTCATAGCTTAACGTGGCAACAGTTTTTATTACAAAGAGTCATTTTTTTTCTTAGACATCTCCCTACACAGGCCTTGCTTCCCTCTCTGCAGACTTGTAATTGTAACTGACCCGTCTACAGCCAAACCCTATAGGATATTTAGTTCTCAAGTCAAACACGGACACTTCAAACATTACAAAAGGGTGGAGTTGCAAAGTGGACACACTGGATTAATTAATGTATGATGTAGTGTATCGTTGTCAATAGAGCAAGTATAGGAAGTACTAAGAACTATTTCCCTTTGGGCGGCCCATTAGGCCCCGGGGCAGGAGGTGGTGGAGGTGGAGGAGTTCTCGGAGCAGGAGGCCTCGGGACTGGCGGAGGTCTAGGAGCTGGAACAGGCTTCATACCTGGAGGTCAGTGCTTTGTCTACGTCTGTATCTATACATGACCACCAATAACAGGTTAAACTGCATAGGTCTGTTATCTATATATCCTTAAGAGTGCATCAATTAAGTGCATTAGTCAGGTAAGTCCATTGCGAGGTTGTTGACGCAACAATGACAATCTTTGAACAACATAAATAGCACTAGCTTATGCTTTTGTACCTATTGCACAACAACCTGCAGGCAGCATCACGCTGCTCCTCTGTAACATCAAAAAATAAGGTTGAACATTTTTCTCTTCTCCTTCACTGGGCACAATCCTGGCCTTTGTAGCCATTGCTTACCTTTAACAAAATATGTGTATTAACAAATCTCTATCCTTCCTGACCCAGGTGGCTATGGAGGCTATGGAGGGGGTTATGGTCCAGGTGCTGGTCAATACCCAGGAGCTGGTAGAACTGGTCCCAAATCTCCTAAAACAGGTATTTACTGTTCATCATTACATAGTTTAATGATTACTGAAATATGAAAAGATATAATATTTTGTATTTATTTTACCTTTGGAACAGGTTATAGGCTTGGAGGTGCAGGAGTTGGGCCTGGCGGTGCTGGGTTTGGGCCTGGTGGTGCAGGAGTTGGGCCTGGCGGTATTGGGTTTGGGCCTGGCGGTGCTGGGTTTGGGCCTGGGGGTGCAGGAGTTGGGCCTGGCGGTGCAGGATTTGGGCCTGGAGGAGCTGGAGTTGGGCCTGGCGGTGCAGGGTTTGGGCCTGGAGGAGCTGGGGTTGGGCCTGGCGGTGCAGGGTTTGGGCCTGGCGGTGCAGGAGTTGGGCCTGGCGGTGCTGGAGTTGGGCCTGGCGGTGCAGGAGTTGGGCCTGGCGGTGCTGGGTTTGGGCCTGGCGGTGCTGGGTTTGGGCCTGGCGGTGCAGGAGTTGGGCCTGGCGGTGCTGGGTTTGGGCCTGGCGGTGCAGGAGTTGGGCCTGGCGGTGCTGGGCCTGGCGGTGCAGGAGTTGGGCCTGGTGGTGCTGGGTTTGGGCCTGGCGGTGCTGGAGTTGTGCCTGGCGGTGCTGGAACTGGCGGTGCAGGAGTTGGGCCTGGCGGTGCTGGGTTTGGGCCTGGAGGAGGTGATAATTTGATTTATATAATACAGTTAAATATACAATACAATAGAGAACAAGTTCCAAACTAAAATGCACTTAAGATACCCAACTGAAGTGACATTTTACTTAATTTTTGTTTCAGTCCCAATGCTGCCGCAGACTGGCACAGTAGGCGGAGGTCCAGGAGGGAAGAGCAGTGGTAAAGCATCAAAAGAAGTTCCAGGTAAAAAAAACAATACATTTTTCTTCCTGAAGGATTTGCAACATCCCTTCAGTTAAACCAGAAATACAGATTTTTTTTGTAAAACATTCTTAATCTGGGCTTGCTGTCACACAGGACTTGGGGTGCCGGGACTCTATCAAGGTGGATATGTACCAGGCCAAGGTATGTTTTAACACAAGCAACATAAATATATATTAAACTATTAGCATTCAGTTTTTTTAGAGTTGTTTCAGTTTTCCTCAGCAATCATCCTCCGATATTCCCTGGCTAGGTTTTGGAGCCCGCGGTGTTCTCCCTGGAGTTGCCACAGGAAATGGACTTGGACCTCAGACTGGTGTGTTAATACACTCGATGTTAATTAATATTGTAACATCACAAATTGGTTTACATCCCTAAAAACTGAAATATTGGCCTTATTCCCTGCAGGGGCTGGTGTACTTGGCCAGGGGGGTGCTGGACCAGGAGGGGCAGGCAGTAAGTGTCACAAAGTCCTGTACAATATTAAAAGGGGATTTCAAATGCATTACTTTAACTTTAATTAAACCATTTATTAACAATAATAATAAATATTATCGAAGGCTGCAATTGAGTTTCACAGGATGATCATCCAAGTATTGTATTTCTTCCTCAGATGGACGTGGACAGCAGTTGCCCGGGGTTTTTCGTGGTTACCCTCTCATATCACCAAAATCAGGTATACTGGATACAGCGATGCATTAAACTCCCCAGCTGCATGTAGAGTTAAGGAACGTCAATGATAAATGCAAAGGCTGAAACATAGAAAATGATTTATTCTTTAACTTGCAGGGACGGGCAAATCGAAGAATCCAGCCAAATATGCAGCTAAATATGGTAAAGACACATTAGTGGATATTATTACAAATATGCCAGTTACGTAATATTTTGATGTGTTGCAATAATAAGCTAAGCTCATCTGTTTTCATGACCAGGTGGAGCTGGAGCTGGTGGAGGTGCTTTTGGTCGAGGGGGTGCTTTGGGGGCTGGGGCCGGAAGACTCCCAGGAGGAGGAACTGGAGTCGCACCAGGATTTGGAGGTGGAGTTGGAGCAGGCAGCATACCTGGCTTAGGTAAATCTGGAGTGGTGCACATTTTTAGGGCTATTAAAGGGACAGTAAAGTTCAGGATTCACCTATCAAAGAATTTGTTAAAGAATGTACTATATCCCATATATATATATTATTCCTGGGATATTTCGAACAATTATTATAATACAAAATGTGCACCGGTCATTTTGTGTTTAATTGGATATTTTTTGTGCCATAGGTTATGGTCCAGGCTCAGCCAAAGCTCGCAAATATGGTGAGTCATTAATCAAAATAACAAAATAACAACAACAACCCATTTTCTTCTGTAGTGCTGAAAAATGTCTTTAACTTTCCAGGTCTTCCTGGCGGTGTAGGCACTGGTGCCTCTGGAGGCCTCGGAGCAGGAGGACCAGCAGGGGGAGCTGGAGTTGGCACAGGAGTCGGACCTGGCTCTGGGGTTGGTTTTGGTCCAGGTGGTGCCGGTACTGCTGCTGCTGGAGGAGCAGGAAGAGGAACTGGAGTTGGCACAGGCGGGGGACCTAGCTCTGGGGTTGGTTATGGCCCAGGTGGTGCCAGTACCGGGTCAGGTGGTCTAGGTTATGGTCCTGGCGGTGCAGGGACTGGTGCCGCTGGAGGGATTGGAGGAGGACCGGCAGGAGGAGCTGGAGTTGGCACGGGCGTGGGACCTGGCTCTGGGGTTGGTTATGGCCCAGGTGGTGCTGGGACTGGACCTGGAGGAGCGGGCTATGGGCGAGGCGGCACTGGGTCTGGCAGAGGTGGAGCAGGAACAGGACCTGGAGGTAATTATGAATCAGTATATTAATGTGCCTTTAAGTTGTGAATGAAAGTACACTTTTAAAAGTAGTTGCTTAAATTACACAATATGGTAATTTTACAGATTGCATTGCTTTTGCAAAAAGTAATGTATGATTAATATGTTTGTTTTCAAGGGTATGATGCCAATGCGAAAGCTCGTAAATATGGTAATTATCATTATATTATTTGAATTCATTACATGCAATGTATTACTGTTTAATTGCATTTAATAAAGTACATTTAATAACTTATAAAACATGGCTTTTTCTGCCTTTAGGAATGTTGAGTGGAGCACTTGGAGGTTCAGGAACAAGCCCTGGAGGAGTCAGGCCTGGTGGTGCTGGTACAGGCTATGGACCAGGAGGAGGAGTCGGGCCCGGTGGTGCTGGTACAGGCTATGGACCAGGAGGAGGAGTCGGGCCAGGTGGTGCTGGTACAGGCTATGGACCAGGAGGAGGAGTCGGGCCAGGTGGTGCTGGTACAGGCTATGGACCAGGAGGAGGAGTTGGGCCCGGTGGTGCTGGTACAGGCTATGGACCAGGAGGAGGAGTCGGGCCCGGTGGTGCTGGTACAGGCTATGGACCAGGAGGAGGAGTCGGGCCCGGTGGTGCTGGAACAGGCTATGGACCAGGAGGAGGAGTCGGGCCCGGTGGTGCTGGTACAGGCTATGGACCAGGAGGAGGAGTCGGGCCCGGTGGTGCTGGTACAGGCTATGGACCAGGAGGAGTTAGGCCAGGTGGTGCTGGTACAGGCTATGGACCAGGAGGAGGAGTCAGGCCTGGAGGTGCTGGCTACGGACCTGGAGGTACGAGGAAAAATAAAGATGCATTAAAATAAGAAGGCATGTCTGATTTCAAATAGAAGCTTTTAGACCAGTTGATACTGGTTAATACTGTTTTTATTCTTATTATATCTTGATGTGTCTACATGTTGTAGGTTATGCTGGTGCCAAAGCAAGAAAATATGGTAATAAAATACTTTTGTCTGTTCATCATCAACCAACCTTTAACCAGCAATAACATATCAATATATCTGCCATGAACACAGCCTGTTGTTTGTCATTAGAGTGTTCATTTCGTCAGGTTGGTTAATATTTCCCGATATAATGCTGCTTTCTGCAGGTCTTGGTGCTGGAGGAGCCCTGGGTGCAGGAGGACTTGGTGCTGGGCCTGGTTATGGGCTCGGAGCAGGAGGAATGGTTCCAGGACGAGGTGTTGGAGTATCAACCGGTGGTGGACCTGGAGCAGGACTGGGACCAGGTGGCTTTGGACCAGGCAGTGCTGGAGGTATGAAGAGAAAAACAATATATTAGAAACAAATTCTATACTTCTTTCCCTTTTTGGAATTCTTTAGTTCATTTGATATCATCAATATCCTATTTTGAGACTACATGCCATTGCCATAATGACCCTCTGTCGTCGGCTAATATAAAAACTCCCTTGGGCTTTCATAAAAAGGAACCGGATATGGACCTGGTGGATATGGGCCTGGAGTTGGACAAGTGCCTGGGGCAGGGTATGGACCAGGTGGAGGCTATGGGACAGGACCAGGAGTTGGATATGGACAAGGTTCAGTTTTTATTTTGTCCATGTCAAATGTTGAAGAACTCAAATTAAGATGAATTGTAACTTGCCTTTCTTTTTCCTGCAGGCTATGGAGCTGGATCAAAAGCAGCTAAATACGGTATTACAATTTTATTTTGTATTTCTCTAAAACAAGATGGATCAACATTTCCATAAAAACTAAAACATTTATTTATGATCCAGGTTTAGGTGTAGGTGCTGGCGGAGTTCTTGGAGGTGGTGCAGGACGAGGAGGTGAGTTATTTATGTTTGATAACTTTAAGCCCTGCAAGCTGAGAGCAATTCAAATGATTTTTTTTTTTGATAATCTCTTGATGGAATTTCTTACACTGAATGAGTTTTATTGTGTAATTGTATAGTGGGTTATGAACAAGGAGACAAGTCTAGATCACATTAAAGTATGAAATATTCCCTTATTGACCTCTAATGTAGCAAGGTGTATTGAACCAAACATGAATTGTAAGTGAATCAAACAGTTTGTTGTGTCATGTCATGGTTGCAGAAATCCAATAGAAAAGAGTTAAAATAAATCACTATGTTTTATCACACGACTAGTCAATATTTAATACATTTCATTTGTTGGGATCATCAGGCTATGGAACAGTTGGATCTAAAGCTGCTAAGTACGGTAAGTTGACTCTGTAAAGTAAAACATTATGTGTATATCTTATAGATGTTTGAACTGAAGAATAGAGCTGTTTATAAGGACATCTTTTGAATTTACCATATTATCTATTATATAAACTGTAGCTCAACCTGGTGGAGTTGTACCAGGGGCAGGATCTGGGAATGGGACCGGCACGGCAGGATCTGGTACTCCAGGGTCTGGTACTCCAGGATCTGGGACAACAGAATCTGGGACAACAGGATCTGGTACCCCAGGATCTGGTACTCCAGGATCTGGTACTCCAGGATCTGGGACAACAGGATCTGGTACTCCAGGATCTGGTACTCCAGGATCTGGGACAACAGGATCTGGTACTCCAGGACCTGGCACTGGTGTAAATGGCACTGACACAAGTAGTGGTGCAGGGACAGCAACTGGAACCATTGGTAAGTCTTTGTGTTAAGGATTAAGTATATACATTCTGGTTACTCATTAACTATTTGGAATATCTAAGTGTGTTGAACTGTGTCTCCTGGATCAGGAGGAGGACTTGGAGCCACAGGAGGAACACCAGCTCCTGGATCAGAAGGTATTTGGTTTAGCAAAATGCAGCGCTATACTGTAACACATTTTCGTCACATATTATCCCAATACATTTACTCATAGGGTTCCCAATGCATTTGTTATACTATCAAATATTCTTTATAAGAATGAAAAAGAGAGACATTGAGGTGAGGTTCCAGAGTATAATAATAGAAAAAGTTATGCCTGTAAGGGAGGGGCAACTGAGTTTGATTACATTTGTTTGGAAGGGGAGAGGGAGACCCCAACTTGTGTTCATCTAAATGCACTCTCTAGTTAAAAAATGTCTTTGTTTGATTTATTCCGTTTACATTCACATCAAACTCTTTTATGTAGTACCGTTTTTAAATCTCCCTGACCTTATTCCAGGTGATGGCGGCGCCGGCAGTGTGATAGAGGGGTCTGGAAGTTCTGGAGGAGAAGGTGTGTCTAAACTTGTTGGAAAACCTGTGTTTTCTTACCTTACATTTACACATTTTGAGATTGTTAGACAACGAATATCACAACTGTAAAATTCAAGTCTTTCGGTATAGAAAACTGATGGTTAAACAAGATGGCCAACAGACTACACAGGAAACACTGGGGAAAATAAAATCAAGAATACTAAATATGCAATTAATTCTTATTTATTTGCATTTATTCTTTCAGTGGCTGGCAGACCTGTGGGAGCAGGAGGTGATGGAGACGTCTTGGGTGGAACAGGAATCCCCATCATTGGAGCAAAACCAGGTATCTTGGTCATTTCAACTACAAATTCAAGAGAAAAAGTGAATGTGTTCATTTATTCTGCTACTATTTGTTGTTGCCTTTCATCTTTTTTTTAATGATTTTCTCGGAACAGGTCTCAATGGGACAGACGTTCCAGGTCAGTGTTTATTTTACAACCAGAGTTTCTGCATGTTTGTCCGCAAGCACCGTATGTTCATCTAATTCTGTCAGAGTACATCTGTGAGTCAGCCAGACATCAAAATAACAGTGCATCTAGGCTTTTGTTTTGGATAGTGCCACCGTGTGGACATTTCCAAACACTATATTTTAGCCCAACTGGACTTTGAGGTGTAGATGAAAACACATTCCCCAACAAGGATCCAGGAATACTTAAAAAAAAGCCCTGCCTACACAGACTTTTGGATCATTGCTGGACTTTTTTTTCAACATTGATGCCATTTACCATCTCTAACATTTAATGTTCTGTATATTTACAAGGCGAAATTAAAAGACCAATATATCCACACTATCCCAAATACTGCATGTAACATACAAGAGACCAACAAGTGTCTCTGCTTAATTTAAACTAGGAATGAACAAGGCTGATCCTTTTGTTTTCATATCCTACAGGTTCCACAGGAGCTGCTCCTGGTGAGTTGAAATAAAGTACACTCAATATGTTACTTATGAGATGTTAATCAAAATGATGGACTATTGCTTAATAACGGCACAGTATAAACAATAAATTGGCCTCACAAGATACAGTGGCATGTCACGCTATCACAAATGTTTTTCATCTTGATGTTTATCACAATATTTCTCCACCTGAAGGATAATCTGTATTTCTATTATTTTAGTTGGAGGTGAGGCTGTGCAACCAAGTGGTACGCACATCTGCATTATACTTCTAAAAATACTACAGTACTTCCAAAATATATACCAGATGTTGAAACTTGCACTTCCTCTATTGTTAATGGATTGCATTTTGCAGGTTCCGATGGGGGTCTTTCAAGTGGGACACTGCCAGGAGCCAAACCTCTCAAACCCCCAGGTCAATAAAATGAAATCTAATTTATTTCAGGATAATTTATTTATCTATTACCTAACAGCATTTTGACAATGGTACAATACAAAGCAACGTATTATGAGTGCTATTCATAAGCCAAACAGACTTATTTTAAACTTTATATATACATGAACCTTGGTATTGTTTTTGTGTGGATTTTGTGAAAGCTAATAGGGATCAACATGAAGAATAAAAAACACTCACCAGGCCTCTTTGCTGTAACGATGTTTGTGATGTAATAGTTTTATACTTACTGAGTTGCTTTGTTCTTGATTGCAATTTATATTCTAGCTGAAATACAGGTGTGGTTTTCTATGCTCTATCTGCAGGTGTCCCCAGAGGTGACACGCCCGGTGAAGGAGATGGAGAGGGAGGTCCTGACGGAGAGAGAGGAGGTGCAGGAGGAGCAGGAGGTGTTTCAGGTGGCTCAACAGGAACTGGAGTTGGACCAGGAGGAGCAGCCGGCGGAGTTGGAGGAACACCCAAACCATCAAAAGGTGCCATTTTTGCCGTATGACTGTAAACACCACATTGACTGCATTACATTTGACACCTTTATACATCAATCTGTATCAAACGTCTACTATAACCAGTTGGAATGACTCACATAGAGGTAGTAACTGAAAATGTTCCTACTAAAGAAAAAAGTTAATTGTATCAGTTTATTTCTTAAATGTACAGAGGGACCTGATGGGACTGTAGCAGGAGGTGCAAGTGGTGGACCAGGTGGAGCAGGGGGGGTGACAGGAGGTCCAGGCGGAGTTGGAGCAGGTCCTGGAGGAGTTGGAGGCCAAGGTGGTGTTGGAGCAGGTCCTGGAGGAGTTGGAGCAGGTCCTGGAGGAGCAGGCTTGGTCCCTGGGGCTGGTGGAGTAGGAACAGGAGCATTTAAACCTGGAAAAAGTGAGCAGCTGCCATGTTTTGATCTCTGAAATGTTTGTGACCCAAACATACATGCACATGTTACAATGAAGCTTACACTGTATTCATTACAGGCTATGGTGCTGGTGGAGCTGGAGTTTTACCAGGTGGAGGTGAGTCAACTAACACTATCATGGCATCTTTTAATGGATTATGTCATATGTTAAATACTCAAGCAAGTTCATCTTCTTTAAAAATGTAAGATTCAATGAATCATGGTGTATCTCTCTCAGGCTTACGTTACCCGACTGGATCTGCAGTAGGACAGGGAAAAGCAGGCAAAGGTTTGATAAACTGTCAACTATATTCTTCCTGTTTTAATCAGTATCTGGGATTCGAATAAGCTACATGATGCATGTTATGTTTTTTCTTTCCATCAGTATATGGGACTCTCGGCGCGGGGCAGGGTAGGGTCGGTCCTGGCGGTTATGGAGCTGGTCCTGGAGGCTATGGTGCAGGACCTGGAGGCTATGGTGCAGGACCCGGAGGTTATGGGGCTGTCCCAGGTGGATACGGTGCAGGACCTGGAGGCTATGGAGGAGGGGGCGTTGGTGGTGGAGGTCCAGGGGGTGCTGGGACCCTCGGAGTTGGAACTGGAGCTGGTGTTGGACCTGGGGGATATGGTGTGGGTCCTGTTGGTAAGTTGACCTAAATAGCACATCATTAAAATATTGGTTAAAGGAATATTTGATCCCCAAAAGGATCATTCATATATCAATTATTTACCTTGCCTTAAATCGTTGAAGAACACTTTTCTCACGAGCCTCCAAAGTGAACGAAGATTAAAAAACACTTAGAAAACAAAACCTTACTCTTAAAACACCACAATACGATCTCAAAACATTTACAGTCTCTCTCTGGGTGAGCAATTGATATACAAAGTATTCTTTTGGGGTTAAAGTATTTCCTTAACTTATCTTAACTTATCCTATCTGTTATTCAGTTTCTAGATACGGCACAGGTCCAGGACTGGGCACCGGCAAACCCTCAAAACGTAGGATATTATTTAACAGATATGCAGAGAACAAAGTCAAACATTTATACAGAGAACTGAAAATCAAACAATATTTGCTTGTAGGTTACGGGGCAGGAGCTGGTGGTTACGGGCCTGGTGGTTATGGGACTGGACCAGGTGGAGTTGGTCCTGGTGGTTCTGCTGGTTACGGTCCTGGTGGCACTGGACCAGGAGGATATGGGCCAAGCACAGGAGGGACCGGACCAGGTGGGGCCGGAACCAGGCCAGGCGGATTTGGTCCTGGCGGTGTTGGCACAGGAACAGGCAGCTATGGACCTGGAGGAGCCGGAGTAGTTCCTGGCGTTTATACTGCTGGAGGTCAAGGACTAGGGAAGAGAAAGCCTGCCAAATCAGGTATAATAGTCATGAATTATGACACTTATAAATACTTTTTACTGAAATGGCATAGGTCATTATTATTACATGTTACTTGTTAGACGCTTTTTTTTATCCAAATGACTGTATGTGTTGCGTTTTAAGATATATTCATGCTGGTTACTTCTATTGATAGGCTATGGATCATCCTCTCTGGGTGGAACAGGCTATGGACAAGGTGAGAAACACTTTAAAATGTGCAGATTGTTTACGGATTATCTCTATGTCTGTATATCATAACTACCTCAATCACTAAAAATACAATCAGAACTAGGAACAAAGTTATTAAGAACAAAGAGTGCTACATGGATACTTTTGTTGTTCTGTGTACCAACTGTGTATTTTATCTTGACACATTCCTATATATCTTAATCTGTAGATTAATTATAATTGAACATTGAGTTGGCAGATTAGAGCAGTACTTATTCTACCTTCTTTAAAGTAAAG